TCAGGACTTTTGCACTGAGCAATATCCCCAGACCATTTTTATTTTATTTTATCCTATTTTATTTTTATTTTGAGACAAGGTCTTGCTAAGTCACTAGTTGCCCAGGCTGGGCTTGAACTTGCAGTCCTCCTGGCTCACCCCCCAAAAGTGCTGCAATTACAGGTGTGCATCACCAGGGTTGGGCCAGGGATGTAGCTCAGTGCCACCCCGCCTGCCTGGCAAGCACAAGGTCCTGAGTTCGATTCCCGGTACTGGAAAGAAAAAAAAAGAAGAATCGTTTACAAACCATTGTCTAGTCTGTGGGACCAACAGACTTTGTCCTAGGCCAGTACCTATCCTTCACACCCACTATGTTCCCCTAAAAATCATTTCCTAGCCCCCTAAAAATTTCCCCAATCTTCCCTTCCCTGTGGAAAAGGGGTCAATAAGCTTCTACATCATTCTGGGGCTGTGTGTGATCACACTATGTGACTGCCTCTGTGTGCATGATAAACGTGGCTGTCTTTGTCCCATTCATCTGTCACTGTCAGGGTATCCAGTGCACCTCAGATGGTGGAAGAGAAATCCCCTTTTCACTCCTACAGTACAGACGGTGGCCATGCTGACAATGCTAGGGTCTGAGTACCCAAAGATTGGGGTAGCTGCAATCACATGACACGTGCTGTATTTCAGAATGCAGGTAATAGCATATATTTCTTTATTGCTATCAAGCTATAGGGAAAATATCTTTAAGAAACTGCCTGAGGAAGGATCATACCATGGTACATCTCTATATTCAAATATGTGCAGCACATCGGATGAAACAGACCTATGTACAGTGACAGGGGAAGACCTTGGAGACACAAGCCAGGATAGGAAAGCAGCAGGTTGCAGAAGAACATAAATGTTACCATTTGTATGGGGGGAAAAAGAGAAAGCCAAGCCTCGGCTTTCTGCAGACACATACATATGTATACACAGGCAGAGAAAAGATCGGGGAGCTGGCCATGAACTTGACTATAGCAATCACCTCTGGGAAGGAAACACACCTGAGAGTATTTAGACTCTATCTATACTGCTCGAATGTCTTACAGAGTGAGAATTTAATTACATCTGTATTTTTAAACAATTGTTAAAGCTGCCTGAAATCCTTCGCACCTTATTTATACTAAAGCCTTCCCACTCCAACTAGCATAATCTGTTCCCCTCAATGACATACAGTTCTCTTTTACCTCTTTTCTTCCCCCAGCCAGGCTTCCTGTCACCAATTTAAGATTGAAAAGTCCTTTCAGCCACAAATTCATTGACTCCTCCTCCCTCTGAGATACTCTGATTCTTTTACCTCATTTTATACAATAGGAAACTAATGCACAGAGAGGTTGAGTAACTTACTCAAGGTCACAGAGTAAATGGTGATATAGCAGAGTTTGGACCCCAAGGCCTGCATACCTAATAAATCCACTCTCTAGCTTCCTAAAAGGAAGGCTTTAACATTCTGCATCTCTCTGGCTTATTCTGTTCTCAGTTAGCTGACCTCAGCCACTACAACCACTACTAATTTTTTGCATTTTATTTGCATGGTTCTGTCTCTGATAGATAGAAGTGCTCAAAATTCAGACTCAGTCATGGTGGCTGAGGATTACACCTGTAATCCTAGCATTCTGGGAGGCTGAGGAAGGAGGATCGAAAGCTTGAGCCCAGCCTGGGCAACACAGAGACTTAGCAAGATACTGTCTCAAAATAAAAACTACAAAGGGCTGGAGAGGTACCTCAGTACAAAGGCCCTGGGTTCAGCCCCCAGTAACACACACATGAAAGAAAGAAAGAAAGGGGGGGGGGCCAACGAAAGAAAGAAAGAAAGAAACTTTCAGCTTCAAGTGAAAGGGAGTTTTATCACCAGCAATATACTGTGTTCACAGCATACACACCCACACACATCCAGAAGAGCAAGTGAACTGCTAATTAGAAATGTGCTGAGCCTACAGCAGGCAGATGGGAGTGCAATAGAGGTTAGCAGGGTGGGTGAGCTCTAAACATGTGTGTGTGTGTGTGTGTGTGTGTGTGTGAGAGAGAGAGAGAGAGAGAGAGAGACAGAGAGAGAGAGAGAGACAGAGAGACAGAGAGAGAGACGTTGGGATAGGCCCCAGCAGGTGACAGTCTCCAGAAGGCCCTGAGCCACTTCCTAAATCCTGGCAGCTGGGCTGACCTCAGCTGTATGAAACACAGTCCCAGCTGGGGTGGGGGTGGCTGGTAATTTTTCCCTCTGGGAGTCCCATGGCAACTGCTCATGAAATCAGAGAAGTCTGCAGCCCATGATTCCCTCCACCTCACTAAAAGAGAATATTTTGAGAGCTCTAATTATATGTTGGGGCTTGCATGGGATGAGGGAAGAGAGTTTAGATAAGCCCTTTCTAAGGGCAGATTGGCAAGGGCTGTCGGAAGCCTTGGGCAGTGCTGTGGGGTGGGGGTGCCCCCTGCAGGTGGACCAGAGTGGATGCAGCTACCACGTTCCCTTCAGCCTGGGTGGTGCCCCTCAGCCCAGCCATTGCCCACAGAAGATACTGCCCTATTAGCTGTGTGACCTGGGCTGACTCTGAGGCTCAGTTACCCATGCTGTAAATAAATGAAGAACCATATCCCTCTCTCATGGGTTTACTGGAGAAAGAGCAAAGGTAGGGACTGCCCCACAGGAACTCCTCCAACAAGGCCATCACCAGCCACAGCAGAGCCTGTCATCACCATGGCCAGCATCCTGAGCAGTGTGAAGATGCCACCCAGTGACCTAGCAGGAGGGAGATGACAGGGTGTCAGACAGAGATCTGTGCCAGCTAGGTGGCCACTTGACATCTGATTTGCCAACTAGGTCTATTACAGCTCTGGGAGACTGTTTGCTCCTCTTTTCTCTAAAAGTCCACAACGCCTAATTGAAACTCCCTGGCAGAAAGACAGCTAAGATGCACTTGGAGGAGCCCAGATGTCAGCAAATCTCACAGCATCAACAGGCGGCTTGTAGTGATCCACAGAAGAGACCCCTTCTGTGGCTGATGGGGGAGAAAGAGGCTTTGTCGCCTGCCATGATTGAGGCCCCAGCCTCTCTGTAGGAGTCCCCTGCTCTCCCTTGCTGCAGGTCAGAGGTCAGACCTGATGGAGCCCTGGGTGGTAGAGGTCAGTTGATCACCCCATCCCCTTCTTCCATTCCTATCCACCAAGGTGCTCTCGTTCCTTCTGCTCTGGTCCCTGAAAAGGCACCCAACCCCTTTGATGTACCCTGAAAATCTCTACTGCTAATAACTACAGGGAACAGAAAGGGTTATAAAGGGAGTATTGAAAAAAATAGTCAGCAGGGCCAGGGATTTAGCTCAGTGGTTCTGCAGCCTGCCTCAAAAGCGCAAGGTCCTGAGTTGGATCCCCAGTACAAAAAAAGAAAAGAAAATAATAGTCCACAGATGAATAGTCTCTGGTCTGTGCAGGAGGAAGAGGAACAAGGGTGACTACACCCCGTTCCCCCTGCTGACTCAGTCCTCTCGATTTTTCTTTTTTAAGACAATACTACCTTTACTTAAAAATTTGCTGTTTTATTCATCATTAATTTTTTTGCATTTTTATTTTTTTTAATACTGTATTAAAAGTTATCTGTCTTAATTGCCAAGTTTTCTAGTTTTAAATTTTGTGCTCAAGGCGAGTATCTCCCCCACCCCCATCCAGGCCCTGAGTGTGAGCTGCCTGTGTCTTCACTGGGCATCTCCTCTCCTACCCACCCATCTCCCCCAGCCCCTCCTGTAACCTGCTACAAGGAACAGGATCAGCTCATCTGCCACTTTTGTTTGTTCCTTCATTCACCCAACCAACACAGACTGTATGAATTCATTCACTCATCAAATATTTATTTCCCACCTGCTGTGTGCTGATCACTTTGCCAGGCTCAAGGGAGATAACAGTAAAACAGGTATAGTTCTTATCTGGATGCAGTGGCTCATGCCTGTAATTCCACAAGTGAGGAAGGCTGAGGCAAGAGGATCACAAGTTTAAGTCCTGCCTGGGCAATTTAGTCAGACCTTGTCTCAAAATAAGATAAAATAAAACAAAATAAATAGGGCTGGGGATGTAGCTCAGTGGTAGAACACCCCTGGGTTCAATTCCTAGTACCACAAAACAGGATAACATAAAACAAAGTTCTTGACCTCTAGCATGGGAAGCTATGGCAATAAATATATTCATAAAGTATTCAAAGTAGATTGCAGATAGCAAATTTGACAAAGAAAATAAAATACAGTGACGGTCCCAAGCCTTCAAAATGCATCTACTCTGGGGAGACAGACATATAAATGGGTAATGGTATAAACCAGGTATAACTGCTCTGACGGCCTTCATGGTGAATATTTTGATAGGGGTGGTCAAGGAGTGATCTAAGGGAGAAGGCTGGGGCTGAAGCTTCAAAGATGACATATCAGCCGTGTGAAGGAGGAAAAGGCACTCCAGATCTAAGGCATGGAGCAAGGAACAAGGGAAACAGAGAAGCTGCATTACAGGGACAGAGGAGGCTGCAGGGACTTGAGGGGACCCAGAGGCCTGGGAGGCTGCAGGGAGAGTTGGTGGTTGGTGGGATGTGAAGAGAGAAGAATCAAGAACACTGAGTTTCGAGTTTAGAGACTGGGTGGATAGTGGTATCAATAAGAGCTGAAATGTGAACTCCTCAGGTGGGATGTACAGATTGGGACAGACTGGATTTTAAATACCATGGGGACACCCAGAGAGAGATGCCCAAGGACAGCTGGGTAAAAGGAGAGGATCAGCAAGAGACACGGAAGACGGCAATGGCTCATGGGTCAAAGGCCAATGAAATCCTCCCTTGTGGGTGAGAAGACCCCAGAGTCCCACCACTGGGATCAATTTCAATGATATAGGTTTGTTTCAGAGGCAAATAAGTCTCCCAGGCACTAAAATCATCTGATATTTCTCCCCTTAATACATAACCCTCCTTAACCCTCTGGCTAGGGGTAAATCAGCCCAGTTGCCCCAAATTATAAGACACTAAAATATAGTTGACTTCACAAATGGCAGTAGATACAATATACAGTAATGCTTTCTGGTTTTTATTTTTAATTCTAGACTTGATTTCCAGCGCTAGGGGAAAAACGGGTTCCTGGGGCAACATTCCCACCAAGGTGGCTCATCTTTCCTCCTATCAGAAGACCAAGATCTGCAGTGTTTGTTTGGACAACAACAACAAAAAAAGAAGACCATGAAAATCTATAAAATGGGAACAATTATTTCAATCTTCTCATGAGAACGAGATGAACAGTTTCTGTAAACACATTTGTAAGTGATAAGGTACAAATATAAATATGGAGCAGAAGGTCTGGTGAAGATCAATATGTCACTCTCCGGACAAACGGCAACAAATCAGAAAAACGAAGGTCTGAGGGTGAAGAAAACTTGGAAAGAGAAGTCAGAAGTAGGCCATGAAAACCTCTAAGACCTTCAACAGTTGTGCCTTTCTGGAATCCCAAAGTTCAGGGTGGAGGTACAGCTGCCCGGGAATTTATTGTTCCTCCGTAACTCTGAGCTCCTCAAATCCCCACGAAGCCCAGGAATGAAGTAACTGCAGGGGCGTGGGGCCACTGGCACCAAGAGCCTCTCCATAAATCAAGGTCTCACTTCTGCTGGCCTCAGATTGCTTTTTCCAAGGTGACCTGGGCAAAGTAAAAGGGTAGCTTATCTAGGAGGGGCATCTGCCTTTGAGATAAAAGAACCCTGAAAATGCCAAGAAGACCAATTCTCTAGAAATCTATCCCATGCACTCTTCTTTCATCTCAGGAGGAATTAGAAGAGTGACAGTCTTCCCCTGGCACCACCCAGCTTGGGCGACTCAAGATGCCCTTGGAGCAGACCACAGGCAGGTGCCTATTCCAGTGCTAGGTCATGGCAAAGCCACACTGGCAGTGTAGCCAGGTTCCAGCCAAGGACTCCAGAAACTTAGCCCAAGCCTACCAGTTCATCTGGCCATCTGACTTTCTCCAGTGGCATCTAAGCGAGCTGTGAGTGTGGAAACCAAAGACTATTAAAAAAAAAAGGTGCCCTTCCTTTGTCAAAAGTCATGGCCAGAGAGGGAAAACATCAATCCTGAGAAACTTGGGGGCCTGCAAAGTCATCACTTGTGGTGCCTGAAGAGACCGAGGACCTTAGAACACAGTGGCCACACCAGCCCAAGGTAACAGTGCCCAGAGGGAGGTGGGACTGCTGTGGAGTTAAGTGAGATGATGGGTCATAATGTTTTCTTTTTCCCTTTTTTTTTTTTTTTTTTTTTTTTAATTTTTTTGAGACAGGGTTCTCACTATGTAGCCCAGGCTGGCCTCGAACTCATGGCGATCCTCCTGCTTCAGCCTCCCTGAGTCCTGGGATTACAGGCGTGTGCCACCACACCTGGCTCGTGTCATGTTTGGTGCATGGTAGAAATGCTTGCTGGTACGCAGTGGCTAATAATGCCACCAAGGACGGGGTGCCCTTCCCTGAACTCTCCCCTACTTTACAGTTCCCCATCTCCACCTTTGGAGAGGGAATTCAATGAGTGGCTTTCACACTCACCGTGGCATCCCACAGACTTAGTGCCTGCCTCATAGGTGGTGCTTCATACATATTTATGAATAAATGAATAGATGGATGACACCTTTGCCTGACATCTCTATAATCAATTCACTCACCAGCTATCCCAATTTGCCTGCGACTGGGTTCCTATTTTTTCGAGACAAGGTCTTGCTGTGTAGTTCAGGGTGTCCTTGAACTCACTATGCAGCCCAGACTGGCCTTGAACTCGATCCTCTTGCCCCAGCCTCCCTAATGCTGGGATTACAGGCGTGTGCCACCATGCCCGGGACTGAGAAGTTCTTGAGAAGGCTAAAACCTGAACAGAGAGGAGTCGGAGATAAGTGATAATACTGGCAAATCCTCGGGGACAAAGGGGTTAAAATCAGAATATAAATTCGAATTAGTTGGCTCCGCCCTCACTTGGCCTCAGTCCCACCTTTCCAGGTCGCCCTCCTCAGACTCCTGCCCCTTTGTCCGAGAAGGTCACTTTAAAAATGCGGGAGCCCAGATAAACCTGGGCCACGTCGGCCGCCACTGCGCACGCTCGGTTTCGGTTTGACTAGCTCTGCCTTCTCCGCCCACCCGCAAAACCGGAAGCTACCTCCCACTCTGTGGTCCAATGCGAATAGCGGGTCTTCCTGCCGGGGCGCTGCCTTGTCGCCGCAATGTTCGACGGGAAGAGGGCATAGAGCTATCTCAGAGTTAAGGGTCGGGGCAGACGTCAGGAGCCAAGATGGCGGCGGTGGCCGTTTTCTCCTTGGGGCGACTGTTTCCAGCCGCAGTCCTTGGCGGAACCTGCCTGCAGGTAGGTGCCCGGGAACTGGGGGACAGGACAGTTACAGAGACCGCCTGGATTGAGGGGGCCGCAGAGGGGCGGAGGGGGCACGGGGCAAGGTCTCAGGGTGAGGTAGGACCTTCTCCCACCTGAGCAGTGTTAAGAGTTTTGCCTTGGAGCCTCCCTGTCAGTTGTCCCGCGCCACAGCCTGTGAGTCAGGGCAGAGTCGATTTCTTAGAGATAAAGAAAAAAGTTCAGAGGGAATTTGAATTGCTCAAGGTCATATGCCAAGCGAGTGACAGTAACGAGAATTCAAGCCCAAATATTTGGACTGCAAACCCTTTTTTTGCCACCAGACTGTAGCCTCTGAAAGGAAAGCATGCGGAATGTTGGAGTGAGAACTGGGCAGCGAGGTCGTTCCTTCCGAGTACAAGGTTGAGAACCAAACCGGAATTGGGAAGGGAAGGAAGGGTGAATTGTGGAGGGAAAGGCATCCACCACCCCTAAGGCAAGGCAGAGATGGGTGGGGACTTACCCAGCTCTGGAAAAGATCCCAATTCTTCCCACTGGGGGCCTTGCAAGAAGGACTAGGTTCTGAAGCAGTGTCACCTACAGTTAGGTGGGTATTTATCCTTCTCCAAGGGCATTTAATACCAACTTCAGAGTTGGCATGTGATGACATAGGTTCAGGACTTGGCGCTGTTCTTATTTATGCAAATTTCAGTGATAGATTTTCCCAAATCCATTGTATCTTCAGGGAGCAACACACTTCTGGTCTTCATTCTAAATGGGAATATCTAGAAGGGAAACCGCCACTGTTTGCATAAGACAGTAGGGGATTTAAAAATCCATCGAGTCTGTTCCCTCTACTGGGCTCCTAAGCAACTCATTTAAGGTATGCAGCAAGAACACTTACCTCTTTTTTGGAGATATGAAAATGGAGGCTTCAGAAAGAAAATTATTTTTTTATCAGGCTGGCAATCTTCCTGCCTCAGCCTCTTGATTAGTTGGGATTATAGGCGTGACCACTGTGCCCAACTGCAGGGCAGTTTTTTTAACATAATGCCTGAAAAACTGCTTAGCACAGATCTTAACATATGATCATCTATGAGAAATACTAGTTCTTCTGCCCCTCCAGCATTTGGCTGAGGATGGCTCCTTGGTACCTGCTGTGGCTGCTAACAGTACTGTACATATCACCTGTGCTCTAATCTTAACACTCCCAACATGCTGTCTGTGAATTTGGACAAGTCGTTCACACGCTACATCTCTTTCTGAAAAGAGGGGTTAGGGAAAGAGCAAGGCCTCCCAAAGCTGATGCCCTCTGGAAATTCAATTAATGATTGCTGATGGGCTTGTTTACCAATTCCTTTTATAGTTGCTGAGGAAGCAGGTAAGTTGTGAGAGCCCCACCACTGGGAGTGAAGTCTGAAGTTCAGGCCCCTTTGCCTGAACAGGAACTGTCGAAAAGGCTGATTTTATAGGTCAGTGTTGTGATTTCAGGCAAGGCTTTTGCATGGCCTCCTGAAGACAAGAAAGACAGTCCCACCCCACACACATGCAGGAGTGTGCACTTGTACCCACAAAAGCCACCTCAAAAGAGTCCAATAATGAATCAGGTGTGGTGGTGCATATCTGTAATCCCAGCACTCTGAGAGGCTAAGGCAGGAGGATTGCAAGTTCAAGGCTAGCCTGGGCAATTTAGCGACTTACCAAATAAAAATTTTAAAAGGGCTATAAGGCTGTAGCTCAGTACAGAGATCTTGGGTTCAATACCCAGCACTGGAAAAAAAATCCATTCATGTCTTAATGTGTTATCCACTGATAGTTGTCACATGTGGGCTCTGAATCTCTTCTGTGCAAAAGGTCTGCACCAGTGAACCACAGTTCTGTCTGTAAATATTTAATATATTAATTGTCATTAGTGTTACCTTATTTCTTCATTTAGACTATGAACTCCTGTAGATCAGAATCACCTGTTTACATTTGGCTGTCTCATTGCTCTTGAGTCTTGCAGGGCTTGGGATACCTGTCTCCCAGTCAGAACGGTGCACAGACTGAAGATGTTGCCTGCCAGTATTGGAGAGCAGAAACTTTTCTGAGCTATTCTAGAGCCTGACCTTCTGTTACCTTGTAAAGTGGATAGTTATGCTACCCACCCCTTTGCAAAGGAGAGTGAGAGAGACTAAGTAATTTGCTGAAGAACACACACCTAGTAAGTGGTAGAGCTTGAACATGAACCAAGGCCACTCACGTTTCATAAACCAGCCTGCATATTCTGTTTTGCACCAGCTTATCTTCTAACAGACCTCCTTGCCATTCTCCTCAGCCTCTCGAGGGCTGAGATTACAGGTGTGCAACACCATCCCCACCTTCCTTCCATTTTTTTCTAGAACCTGTCCCCATCACCACTTCATGACATTGCTCGTGTTTGGGTCACTGGTAACCTTTGCCACGTTAAATGCAGTGGTCAGCTCTCAGCTTCATGATTGTTTTCTCTGAAGTGTTTGTCTCTATCATTCACTCTCTCCTCAAAAAATGTTTTCACAAGGGCCAGAGATTTAGCTCAGTGGTTCGGCCTCCTGCCTCGCAAGCGCAAGGACCCGAGTTTGATCCCTGGTACCAAAAAAAAAAAAAAATGTTTTCACCCAGAACATTCCAGGCTCAGTTTTTCTCATCACATGTTGGCTATTCTTTCTGTCTCCATTACCCCAGCCTCTGAAAATAGAGCTCAGTCCTCCAACCTCTTTAAAGATCTTCTTTGGAGCTTTTTAGATACTGTCTGCCTGTGTTTAGTGATAACTCCCAAATTTCTGTCTCTAGCCCAGGCCTGACTCAAGATTCCCAGATCCAGTTGGCCACTGGCCACATTCTGAAGTATCCACATGGTTGTTGAATAATAACACCGTAAATTTTGCCTGCCCCAAACTGAAAACCTGACACCACCCTCCCACACTTACTCCCTCTCCCCAGCACACAGGTCTACCTTACTGTCTGTTTGCATCTCAGTTGGTGGCAGCTCCATCCTTCAGGTTGCTCACACCAGAAACTTGAGAGCCATTCTGGATTCTTTGTCTTGCTCTTACACCCAGTCTGTGAGCAAATCCTGCCAGTTCTATCTTAAACTAACCACCTCTAACCACTACATCTATAACCAGCTTCCTGCCACCATCATCTCTTGGCTGATTGTTGCAGTTCCTACCTGGTCTTACTTGCATCTTAAGTACTTTCATAGTTAATTCCCAACACAGTATTCAGAATGCTCCTTTGCAAATTTAGGTCTAATCATGTCACCCTTCTGCTCAAAATCTAATAGCTTCTGATCTTGGGGTAAAAGCCAACATCCCTACAAAGCCCTCCATTAACTTCCTGCTCTCATCCCCATCCCTGCCCCGTCATTCACTCCATTCCCCACACGCTGGCCATGTTCCTTAAACACATCCACACCAGGGACCTTTGTGCTCAGTGTCCCTGTGCCTGACTTGCTATTCCCTATAGACACCTGCATGACTTGGCTCCTCACCTTCCTTCAGGTCTTTCCTCAGCTGTCAGCTTTTTTGGGAAGTCTTTCCTGGCCACCTCATTCAGAGTTGTAGCATTGGAGCCAAGACCCCTATGCCGCTTGCTTCTTTTCCTCCCTCCATCACACTTTTTGCCCCTTGATGTGCCATAAATGTTATTTGTGTATAGCCCCCACCCCTGTTACCCTATAAGCTCAGTCTCTGTTTTGCCCTTGACCCCCAAAGCCTAGAATAATCCCTGGAATATAGTAGACACCTCGTAATTATACACTGAACAAAGAAATGAGTGTATGAAAGTATGTCTGTGGTAGCTACTGCCTAAGATCTTGTGGATTGGGTTTTGTGGGGGGGTTTGTGTGGTTTTTTGTTTTGTTTTGTTTTTTACCAGGGAATCAATTCAGGACCTTTTGTTTGCTAGGTAGGTGCCTGTGCCACTGAGCTAAATATCCCATATCCGTATCCCCCCCCTTGCTGATTGTTTACAGTAACAACTTTTGTTGTTGAGGGGGTGTTATTGTCTTCTGTTACTCTTTTTTTTTTTTTTTTTTTAACTTGGGTGATTTCAGATATTTTTGCCTAAAAACATTCTTTGAATCTGTTTTCCTGTCTTAAAGTCAGGTTTTTTTTTTTTTTTTTTTTGGTACTGGGGATCAAACTCAGGTACTTGCACTTGCAAGGCAGGCAGCGGCACCACTGAGCTAAATCACCAGCCCTTTCTGTAATTCTATGTTGTGTTTCCTTTTTCACCACTGAGATAGTGGCTAAAAGATTGGGTTTGAAATCAGATGACCTCTATTGAGTCCTGCCTCTTGTTGCATGACTTTACTCTCGTTAGGTTATTGACCTAAGGATCAAAATTTAGGACATAGAGATGACCTATCCCATTGAGGTAGAAAGATTTATTAACATGATAAGTACAGAAGAAGGTTGGAGGTCTGAAGTAGAGACCAGCCCACCAGGAAAGCCTGGGCAGTGGCTTTTAAGCCTGAGGCAGGAGACAGAGCTTGGGCTGGGAACTGGAAGGAAGGATGGAATGAAGAACTTTAACCCTGGAAGAGGCGTTAGGTGCTCATCTCTTTAAGTAGTGTGGATTAACTAGTGGTCAACTTGGAACACCCAGCTGAACTGAGTCAGCTGGTTCTGGGCATGGAAGGCCTGTGAGGATTGTTGCTAGCAGCATAAAAGGAACTTGAGGGCAAGATAGTATGCTGTTGATTTTCCTGGGGAGGCTTGCCTCAGCTGGTTTTCCTGATGGGAACTTGGCTGTTCTCCTATCAGTGGAGCTCGAGTCCTCACTGTTGCTGAGAATGGCTCCTGT